GCTAGAGCATGACGAGGATAATAACAAAAACGTACAAGGAATCTGAGAAATGGGAGGGCAATTATGGAAAACCATTATATAAAACAGTACGGAGAGGACCGATTCAGTCATTTATGAAAAACTGTTATATAAAACCACACGGAGAGGACCGATTCAGTCAATTATGGAAAACCGTTATATAAAACCATACGGAGTGGACCGTTTCAGTCAATTATGGAAAACTGTTATATAAAACCACACGGAGAGGACCGATTCAGTCAATTATGGAAAACCGTTATATAAAACCACACGCAGAGAACCGTTTCAGTCAATTATGGAAAACCGTTATATAAAACCATACGGAGTGGACCGATTCAGTCAATTATGGAAAACCGTTATATAAAACCATACGGAGTGGACCGATTCAGTCAATTATGGAAAACCATTATATAAAACCATACGGAGAGGACCGATTCAGTCAATTATGGAAAACTGTTATATAAAACCATACGGAGAGAACCGATTCAGTCAATTATGGAAAACCGTTATATAAAACCATACAGAGAGGACCGATTCAGTCAATTATGGAAAACTGTTATATAAAACCATACGCAGATAACCGTTTCAGTCAATTATGGAAAACCGTTATATAAAACCATACGGAGTGGACCAATTCAGTCAATTATGGAAAACCGTTATATAAAACCATACGGAGTGGACCGATTCAGTCAATTATGGAAAACCATTATATAAAACCATACGGAGAGGACCGATTCAGTCAATTATGGAAAACTGTTATATAAAACCATACGGAGAGAACCGATTCAGTCAATTATGGAAAACCGTTATATAAAACCATACGGAAAGGACCGATTCAGTTAATTATGGAAAACCGTTATATAAAACCATACGGAGTGGACCGATTCAGTCAATTATGGAAAACTGTTATATAAAACCATACGGAATGGACCGATTCAGTCAATTTATGGAAACCGTTATATAAAATTATAAGGAGTGGACCGATTCAGCCAATTTATGGAAACCGTTATATAAAACCTCGCGGATAGGACCGATTCAGTCAATTATGGAAAACCGTTATATAAAACCATATGCAGAGAACCGTTTCAGTCAATTATGGAAAACCGTTATATAACACCATACGGAGAGAACCGTTTCAGTCAATTATGGAAAACCGTTATATAAAACCACACGTAGAGGACCGATTCAGTTAATTATGGAAAACCGTTATATAAAATTATACGGAGTGGACCGATTCAGTCAATTATGGAAAACCGTTATATAAAATTATACGGAGTGGACCGATTCAGTCAATTATGGAAAACCGTTATATAAAACCACACGGAGAGGACCGATTCAGTTAATTATGGAAAACCGTTATATAAAATTATACGGAGTGGACCGATTCAGTCAATTATGGAAAACCGTTATATGAAACCGCACGGAGAGGACCGATTCAGTCAATTATGGAAAACCGTTATATAAAACCATACGGAGCGGACCGATTCAGTTAATTATGGAAAACCGTTATATAAAATTATACGGAGTGGACCGATTCACCCAATTTATGGAAACCGTTATATAAAACTATAAGCAGAGAACCGTTTCAGTCTATTATGGAAAACCTGTTATATAAAACAGTACGGAGAGAACCGTTTCAGTCAATTATGGAAAACCGTTATATAAAACCATACGCAGAGGACCGATTAAGTCAATTATGGAAAACCGTTATATAAAACCACACGGAGAGGACCGATTCAGTCAATTATGGAAAACTGTTATATAAAATCACACGGAGAGAACCGTTTCAGTCAATTATGGAAAACCGTTATATACAACCACACGGAGAGAACCGTTTCAGTCAATTATGGAAAACCGTTATATAAATCCATACGCAGAGGACCGAATCAGTCAATTATGGAAAACCGTTATATAAAACCACACGGAGTGGACCGATTCAGTCAATTATGGAAAACCGTTATATAAAACCACACGGAGAGGACCGATTCAGTCAATTATGGAAAACCGTTATATAAAACCATACGCAGAAGACCGATTCAGTCAATTATGGAAAACCGTTATATAAAACCCTACTGAAGTTCTGTCAACATTTTGCTCTACGAGAACTGATATGTAGAAAATTTTAAGTTCAACCCTTCTTTGAAAGTTTCTCTTTAGGGTCGATTCCAGCCGTAAAAAAAAAAAAGTTTCAAGAAAATTTGTCGATCTGACTTTGAGAAAAAGGGAGCTAATATATGACATTAAAAGAAAAACCAAGGGGAGAAAACGTCTTGTTTCTACATACGGGCCGATATATCCCCTCCTTAAAGAATTTCAGCTCGACTCTTCATTGTGATTTTACGTCTAGGGAGATCTTCTAGCCCCTAAAGAATGATTGGCGAAATTGCTTGAGGGGATTCAAAATGAGGAGAGTTCTTGTGGGTAACGGGCTTGGTAAGCATTAAAAAGAAACAGATTCCATTCTGACTCGAGTGTTGAAATCAGGAATAAAGAATAAGTAACCAACCGGATGAATCGGGAACAAGGAATACAAAACGAACTTGATGTCAAACATTAGATTTGAATTGTTTCTTGAAGCAGAGGTTTATTAAAAAGAAACAGATCCCATTCTGACCCGAGTGTTGGTACACTTCGTGTTGTGATCTTTCTGAATGCCCATTAATGCGCTCTTCGCATACGCCATTTCCACTTTAGAAATATTATACTGTATTCCAACTCATTGACTTTGTTGTCATACACTTTTGAATAGAGTCCGATTTCAATCTTTGTGATAATCATGCCTTAGTTACCAGGCTTAAAATTAAACCCAATTTTTGCATTATTTTGTGTTATTCTTCTGTGAAGAACGAAGTTTGTGCATGTACACACATGAGCATTAGCTTTATATTTTCATTTGTATTGTTATGGTACAATAGTACAGGGTTTCATCTCCACCTTACCACCTGTGTAATGCGGTGGCCGTACTAAGAGTAGAAACGCGCGCGCGCGTGTGTGAATTTATCCTCGAGCATTCGGTGGGGTGGGTAGGGAAACTGACAAAATCACTGTTCTCTGAAACTAATCAAACGTGCTACTAAAGAACAATGAACCACCCTGCCCCAGACGATCTAACCTTCGAGTCTCTACTGGTGTAATGTCATACTAATGACAGTGATTATATATATATATATATATATATATATATATATATATATATATATATATATATATATATATATATATATATATATATATATACACACACACACACATACGCGCGCGCGCAAGTTACACCCTAAATTATCATTCTGAGCGACGTTGCAAATTTTTGCTTACCTATTTTTGAATTCAAAATTTGCAATCGTATCTCATCACTGGAATAGTCCCAGGCTGTAAACAGGAAGCTACATTCCTGGACATCAAAGGGATAATATGTTACGTCTGCATTGCATGCCGCCGTCAGAATCACTCTGGGAATCCACGTCGCCGTGCCCCGTTCAAAATTTTCTCGTATTTTATAAGCTTCGTCCCCTATTTCAATCACGGTATCAACAGAGTTCAGGAGCTTTATAGATGGGTGCCACACTGCTGTGTATGGGAATACCATCTCGGAAATGATTGGCGCTGAAGTTTTGGCGTTTTTGAAGTTTGTGTTATACAGTTCTAGAAGTCGTTCATCTCGCCAAGTCACATTGAGAAAAGCTGCAACTTGTATGGAGCCTGAAATTTCATCATAATTATTTAGAGCTGTAAGTTCCATATCAATCGTCACTGTTAGTGAGTTTGTAGAATCTTGTAACGGAATTATAAACGGGTAATTACTATTTGCAGTGAACACTGCATATGCTTTGTCCATATCAGTTAAACTCTGGCCTGAAGACAAAAATATTGCAGAAAATAACAAGAAAAGTCTACAAACTCTAGGCACCATTCTTGGGGAAAAACTTTAAACTTTTTAGTCCAATTATCCAACACTTGCACTTGAATGTGTTTATAGAGAGAGTTAATTTAACGTGTAATATAATTAATTGCTGAACACGTACATAATAAATTGTAACCAAAAAAGCTTTTTATTGTAATATCGATTTCATAGTTTTATCAAGATAAAAGTTTCGAATTATGCATTACAAGACTGGAAATAAAGCACACTCTGTTTTCGTGAGTTTTTGTTTATTGCTGTTTGGTGTATAATATGACCAGTTTAATGGCTTGATACAAAATGCCAATTCATCTTTAACATACATGACTGACACAGCTTTTTCTTTATGGGTTATTTTTGTGCCATGTGGCTTTTCAAGTTTTAAATAAGGAGAGAAAAAGAATATAGGACACTGTAAGTAAATATTACAATCAACAAAATAAACACACCATATTCTTGCCGATTTTTTTCCCTTTTTACCACTTTTCTTTCATTTCCATCTCTTAAACCCAAGTAAGATCTCAACAATTGCGTATGCTACTCAATACATGTGGCAAGAAGGTGATGTTTTTGAGACCAGTGGAGAAAAGTTACTTGCTAATTTTAAATGTCACGGGTGATTCCACGTCCTCGGCTCTCGACTGTTAATTGTTTGGGATCAAACACCCAGGTACCTGTACAAAACCCAGCTATTAATTTGCACATAAAACCATATACATTAGTAAATGTTATTCGTACATAAATGCCAACACAAAAAACGTCCAAAATACTGCAGTTTAAAGAGGGGGGAGTGAGTTGTTTGCATTAAATTGGAAATTGTTATTTGTGAAATCAGAATCTCGAAATTAATCGTAATTTAGAGTTTTAACGTAGCTTTAACAATTTTTGTTATTTCATTACGATTTCTTCAATGTAGAAGTTTATAGCGATGTCTAGCGCTACGGCATGATGCCGCGGACATGTAGTATCATGTCCCACACAGTCACGTTATCCTGTCACCAGGTCGACCAGTCCTAACACTAGCTTTTTAATGCTGAATGTCAAGCGAGGCAGCTTTTAGTACCATTTTTAGAAGTCTTTGGTATGACTCGGCCGGGATTCGAACCCTTGACCTCCCGCAAATGAGGCAGACGCTATAACCACTTAAGCAGCCTTTACCAGCCGATAATGAATATAAAAATCTGAATTGTTGTCATATTTATAATCTTATAATAATGTGCTATAACCACCAAATGCTAAGTTCGGTGTCACTTCTGTATAATACCCTTATTCACCCAGAATTAGTTTTTACAAGTGATTGTTTTGAGTCTTTAACGGTAAAAGTAGATCCGTAACTAGATTTTGTGCTTGAGATGAAACACCTCTCAGGTATTACTTTGCATTTTAAGTTAGTGTAGATCAGAGGTCTCAATCACGCGGCTCGCATGCGGCCTGCCAAGCCGTATCCTGTGGCCTGCACAATGATTAGCGTCACAAGGTGTTATGAGAGATAACAAAGGTGGGGTGGCCCTTTAGGAATGGAAAATGCTCTCATGCGGCCCTCAGGGTGGCTTGAATTTGTGACCCCTGTTCTAGATATTCTTTGTTCTCTTAGCTCGCTGCTGTCGTACAGAAGAAATGTGTCCGTTCAGTAGGGTCATCTGAATTAACTGTATAGTTGTTGCAATGCCAGTAGTGGTATTTTGCCTTATCGTCATTAAAACACTATAGTACATCGTCATGCTCAGTTTTTAATTCTGCTTTACCTTTCAGGACCCTCCATTCCTGACTTGGATGAAAATTAAAATTGTTACGAATTCGTTAAATTCTTTGAGATTTATGCTAATTTTCAGTTTAAATAATCTTCACAATGTATATCTACCTAGAGTCAAATGACAGTTTTCATATTTGAAAGTAAATCATGTAGCGTATACATTGATTATGATTCATCTTGAGCACTTGTATGTTTAAAATGCCAACAAGATAGTACATGTCTTGTTGTCTCTGACGCCCAATTAAGCCGATTGTGCCAAAATGTAATGCCACCATACTGTACCCAATAGCTATAATCCCTATCAAAATTTAAAGTTTAGTATTTGAAAATTCCTAGAGTCGTTCATATAAACTAATTATTTTCTGGGTAGTGCATTTTCACATCTTTTTATATGATGTTTAGAAACGTCTAAAAACTGGAGTGTTAAAATGGGTTGCAGGACAAAGATAAAAGGTATTCTGATTATTCGTTTTGTTAAGACCGAGGCTCATCATTTAATTATCCAAAGTATTATTTTTATCACATGTATGTTTACAGTTTACTGTATATTAATTGACAGTTTGAATATCTTCTAATTAGCTAAAATAATCACATTTAGTAACAACATGTATTTTAGTTGAATGCTTATAAGTTTTAATTAACTGTCTAATTCAGACTTAAATACCTATGTAAACTGAAGACTTAATAATTAAAGCCTCAATGTTGCTGTTACGTGCAAAAAGTTGTATATGTCAATACTGAGTAATACTGACTCTTGAAAGATACTGGTTCTAAAACTCAGTGGATCACATCAAAACCAGAAAATATCGACGTTTCATCATATTACGAGCTACGCAATTGCTCTCTCAAAATGAGAAACCCGGCCATTTCTCACACGTGTAGGAATTAATCCGATGTTGATCGGCGACCTCCATGAATCAACCGATTTCAGTCAAAAGATGTAACACAAAATTTGATGATGTCACCGTTGTAAAAATAAGAACCCCAAGTATTCAAGTTTAATATAGAAATAAAAGCATGGTGGTCTAGGATTATTTCTCCAAAAATAGATAACCAAACAAATGGAACAAAACAAAACCCCTGAAAATCCCACCAGCGACCCCCCCACAAGCCACATAAAAGGCAACATTTGGATTTCAGTATGGTCATAGTGACATAGGATTTAAAACAGATAAAAAACTAGCAAAACGTGATGATTATTAAATAATTTTCAATGTAGGCAATAATACGTTTGTTTTGGAGGAAAAAAAATAAAAAAAGCAATGGTCATGGCTGCCAGTTTATTTATTTCAAATACTGGTCAGTTCAGTCATTGTGTTATTCCTATCGCGTGAGAGCGGGTTACTGATTTTTTATTATGAAAATGATTTTAAAAAAATGAATTAGGAACTTGACTCAATAAATTGACAGTCTATTATATTCTTCCACTGGAGTTCAAATTCTGGCTATGACATGTTTCCCCTTTCTAAGAAAGTTGTAGCTGACAGAAAAAATCTGCTATACGAGAATATGTCATCAAACTAAGGTGAGTTGAAAACGCATCAAATTAACAGATTTAGTTATCTTCTTTACAGTTTATAACTTGAATAAGCAGGGATTTAAAACTGAAATAGTCAAGAAATCACAAACAACAATAACAACAATGATAGAGACAAAAGTTTGGAGAGAGGAACATAATTTTTTTTGACGGCAATAATCTAAACACTGCGCGTACAAAATTCATAGGTGTAGGATTATGATTTGTGTGTACGTAATGGGTATAATTTCAGGTCTTTACATCGTATACGTGACCGCACACTTGTTAGGTGCGCAATGCTTGTTTGTTGACATGGGATAGTTATACAACGACACTTAAGTTAAGCCATTCTGGGAATAGTCATATCTAATGACTGATTTTGTGTAGTTTATTCTGGGTATGACATATCTCGAGTAAAATGCGTTTTCAGTAAAAGCTATGACTCTTTTGAGTTCGAATTACACAATATATTAGACCAACAATCAGATCTACAATTTTTCTTTCTTTATGACAGTGAGCAGCAGAGAGGGTGAACAATCCACTTCTTAGGCCAGTTCATTTGTGAAAGTAAAACCTCCTACGAAAATGAACAGACAAGCGTCAATAACACTAAACCGAGACCTCTAACCGGGTTAGCGCATTTTTGTTATTTATTTCTCTTGATGCTTGCCTGTCAAATTTTTGAGTCCTCGTCTACCGACATGGGCCATTCACTGTTAGTCGTCACCCTCTCTACTGCTGTATGTGGTAAAAAAAAAGAAAAGGAGCGGTCAGGTGACTGGTTTCTCAACCAAACTTTGTATCGAGAACTATTCGACATCGCGACCGAGAATCATATAAATTTATCGTGATAAATCTGTGAGGAATCGCTTACGCTTTTGAGAAACAGTTTTCAAACTTAATCATGTCATTGTCCCTTGAACACCAAGTCTGGTTGATGTTTCTTAGTGTGTGGATATCAACACCATTAAAGACAACCAGAAGATTGCAGTTATCTCTGATCACTTTAGGTATTTGCGCATATCGCTGAGTAACATATATAATATCGATATTTTTATGTCTGCCTCGGGAAAATATCCGAGCTAGATTTGATTGTTTGTCTAGCATCACATCATCGTATACTAAGAGTTTGTTGATGCCCCTGTTGAGATCATGTACCAATGGAGCATCGTTGATGTTGGTGATGAAATCGATAATATCACTGCCGTCCTCGTCCAACAACTTTGCATTTTCATTAAATCTTTAAGCAGGCTGTAGCATCGCTGATCATCTACAGATGGTGCCACTAAATGCAACTTATCCCACTTTAACCATCTCATTATCAGGTTAAGCAACAACTGCGTCTTACCAGACTCATAGCAACCTATGATAATTGCTATGATAGAAATATTTGGTAGCGCAAGATGATGTTTGATTGGCTCTTGCTTTCGTGTCGCTCAGAAATCAACGACATTCATACTTCATACTGTAGGTATATATATATATATATATATATATATATATATATATATATATATATATATATATATATATATATATATATATATATATATATATATATGTTCTGTTCGATGCAGAGCACCCACCAATACCGATGGATTAAAAACAATAATGACTAGTAATAAAAAGCGTGCACTTAATGGATAGTGTGTGGAATGTGGTACAAAAATAAAAAGAAATTGTCTTATGCAATAGGCGAAGATATCGCTGCTTCACTGGGAAAATTACCAGAGGCTCCATGGGCTACGTATCCTGGCGAGAAGCATCTTACTTAATATAATTATTGTGTTCCTGGAGACCGACTTGATATCCAGCTTGACGAGAAAGATTAATCAAGACTTGGTGAGAATGCAATAAATTCGATTGAGTAAGCGTGCCACGCTTATAAAATTCCATTACTACAACAACGACAAATAACTGACGTGAAATTGATTCACCCGCTAAAGTCTGTAAAAAATAAATCTCTCAGAGAATCTCTTGCTGATAAGATCTGAGATGAAAGGTAAACTAGTGCTAGGGGCCGGCAATTAATCATATATAACTATTATATGGAGTCAATTTAATATAGCCCAAGACGATATTGGAGGGTTAGAGCAGCGATTAGTAAACTTGCTGACTCAGCAGGTATCGCACGTCCTGTTGTTGAAGATTGGTTAACACGACAGGCAATATGGCAAATTAATCTACCACTATCTAAATAAATTCAGTACGCACATTTTTTATGTAGGCACTCCCAATGTCGTTCATCAGGCAGATATTTTGTTTTTACCACATGATACTATTAAAACTGGTAGACGACGAATTCGCACATACAAATACGCGTTGACTGTCGTTGACGCTCCAAGAAGATATAAAGAAGCAGAACTTTTATCAACAAAGATAACAACTGAAGTTGCGTCTACGTTTGAAAGAATTTATTAACGTGGCGGTCTGATTGGCTACAGTTGATACAGGTTGATCCTGGCAAAGTATTTTTTGGTGCATTCACATCACTGATGCAACAACATAACGTCAAAATTAGATGAGGGCACACTGCAATTCATCTTGATCAAGCAATCCTTCAGCGATTTAATCAAACACTTGCTGAGCGATTGTTTGGATATCAATATACGCAGGAAATATCCTTGAACAAAACTCAGGCGGACAAGAGATTTCGTGAATGGGAAGCAATACTACCAAGTGTGTTAGCTGCGTTAAATAATGAAATTACTCGTAGAATTTTTTGACCTTCATCAATGCAATCTCGAAGAAACACATACCATTAAAGCGAAGTGACTTCTTCTCAAAACAAAGAGTAGTTGATAATGTAACTGTCTGATATTTATATACGCCGGGGGAGCTTGAGAAGGCGTAAAAAAATGACCGATTAACCCAGTCTGGAGTG